TTTTTCTATTTTCTACTCCCAGTAATAATGGGTCTTCATCCATGCCTTAAGGACAAGGTTTGTTGCCTCCCCTCCCAGGGCTTATGATTTTTTTTCTACAGAGTAGAAGGGCCCAGGCAGGCTGTGTGATTTTTTCTCACAGGGCAGTTGCTCCCTCCTCCAGGTCTATACCACTAAAGAAAGCTTTCCCAGTTCCCTGCCCTGCATTCAATTCTCTTAGACACCCAATGAGGTTTGTGGAGCAAATTTCATGTGTGGCCACAATGACTCCTCTCAGCAGCTTCCAGGGACCCTGGAAAGCTGGTATGCCACACTCAGCTTTTAGCAACTTGTTAAAATTTTTGCTAAATTTTTCTTGCCTGTTTGTTGGGAGCATAACATCTCTCTTCCATGCTTTGCCAAAGGCAAGGCAGTGCTTGCACTGTGCCCCTCCTTGGAGGGTCCCATTTTTCTTCCCATTTCAGGCTTCTTGGTTGCAATGCAACTTCAGTTTTCTGGTGAGTTTAAGAAAAGTTTTGATTTTATAGTTTGTACAGTTTTTCCTTGCTCTAAGTGTGGGTGCAACACTCTTTTCCAGTCTTCTCCACCCTAAGCCAAACTGAGATTCTTTTCAGTAGTTTGTTGTTGCTTTTGGATTTCACAAGCTATTTATATGGAAAGTCAAAGAATCATGAATTGCCAAAAACTTTTGAAGAACATAGTGATAATAAAGTAGTCAGAGAGCTCTTGATGCAAAGATAAATAAACCAGTGGAATAGAATAGAGGAAAAAAAAAGAATAGAGGCCAGAAACAGACCCAGAGAAACACACACATTTAATTTGCATAGAAGGTGGTACCACAGAACAGTAGAGGAAAAGATATTTCCAGTGATATTGGAACAATTAGATATCCCCAGAGAAAAAATACAAAACTTAAAGTATACTTCACCCAAAAGCAACAACAACAAAACATTCAAATGGATTGTTTAACTAAATGTAAAGAGCAAAACAATTATAGTTCCAGAAGTTAGTATAGGATAATGCCTAGTCCATTTTGTGTGGCTATATCAAAACATCTGAGACTGGGTAGGATATAAAGAGGTTTATTTAGATTACAGTTCTGGAGAGTCAAGAGTATTGTGCTGATATTTGCTCAGCTCTGGTGACGGCCTCATGGGGGACAGCATCATAATAGCAAGAATGTATGAAAGAGTGGTGAGTGGTAAATGCAAAAGATTCAGGGGAGGTGCCAGGTTCACTATAAAACTGCCCTCTCAAGACTTCCTAAGAGAATGAGAATGTACTCTTGAAAGGAAAAAGTATTAATCTCTTTTAAGACCTAAGTACCCTCCCACTAGGCTCCAACTCTTAAAGATTTTGTTGCCTCTCAATATCACTGTACTGGCGATCAAGCTTCTAGCACATGAACTTTTGAGGGACAAACCATATTCAAACCAGAACAGATGGTAAATTCATGACTTTGGTGTCTCGTACAAAATTCAGTAATTCAAGTGGTAGAGTGGCTACTTTGTGAGGTGAGAAGCCCCAAGTTAAAACCCCAGACACACCAAAGGAAAAAAAAGAATATATAAAGCCCTCCAATAATACAATGGACAAGAATTTGACCAGGTACTGCATAAAAGAGAATATCCAATTAGCCAATAAATACATGTAAAGTTATTTAACTTCATTTGTAAATAGGGAGATGCAAAATAAAGTTGCAAGGAAGTATCAGTAAGCTACCAGTAATTCTACTCCTAGAAATAACTCAGCAGAAATCCAGGCACACAGACACCAATAAAGCATGTAATACTGTATAGGAACAGTATTACCTATAATGAACACTGGAATCAATCCAAATGTCCATCTATAGTAGAATGAATAAGTTGCGTATATCCATTATACTCTACAGAAAAGAACACGAACAAATAAATCATGGTTACAAGCAACAAGAGACATGGATCTTAGAAACTTGATATGGAGCAAAAGCAGTCAAGAGTACATTAAATGCAGCTAATAGCACAAATCAAAAGAAAAATGCATGATTCTATTTAATATAAATTTTAAAAGCTAGGCAAAACTATATCGTTTAAGGATGCAGGTTAGGTGTTAAAACATCAGTAGCTGGTTAACTTTGTACAGGAGAGGGTATCAATTGGGAAGGAAAACTGGGGTTTTGGGGAGGTTGGCTGTGTTCTACCCCTTAACCTGGTTGGGAGTCATATGGATGCTTACTTTGTGAATAATCAGTTAAACTACATATTGATGTCTTTAGTGCTTTACTGTATATGTATTATACTTCACAGAAACCTCCTCCAACCCCCTAAAAAATTTTTTGACCATCAGTGAACTTACTTTTTACTAAACATTCTTTCAGTGGAGTAGTGGGATTATCTAAGCTGAAATATACTCTTCAATTCTGATTTTGTAGGATTCTATAAAGATATGTTTTGTTTTCTTGAAGTGGGGTAGAGGTTTGGGGATTCTTCCTTTGTTTGGAACTGAGAGACACAGATTTCAGTTAAAAAAAATGTAGCTTTACTAGTGACAAAGGCTGGATTAAAGGATAGTGACCACAATGAGCTACCAAATACTCTAACTTTAAATTAGATGGACTGCCCACTCAAGTATAAGACAGAGATGGACGACTTCAGGTTTCCCTGTGGCTTGCCTTAGAAATCCTAGGGTTTGACAAAGACAGAAATGCAGAGGGCTTTGTGAAGAAATTTTCTCATAAGATGAGTCACTCTTCCCTTCCTGAAATGGAGGGAGTGAGGGAGCTTACTTTCCTTCTTGGACAGAATGTTAATTCTCTCACTCTATGGAAATGTGAAGAATGAGGAATGAATATCACTCTTTAACAACAAGGGGACTAGCATTTATCTTTGATGACAGCTCTTTGAATCTTAACAAAGATTGCCACAGGCAAAGTTTAGAATAAGCCTAGTTCTTGTGTTTATAGCTTCCTTCCCTTCTTCCACTTCTACACCTGCATACAGAATCCAACTACAATCCTCCCCCCACCCCCCAGCTTTCCCAAAGCATCTGCAGATACCAGTCAAGTGAAGGAAATGGAAAAAGGGGCAGGGAATTATATTTGTGGATCCTCTCTAAGTATACAAGTACATGTATTTATGAGTAAAGACTCTCTTTGCCATTTCTGCATTAGATGTATTAAATTATGGCACACAGTTTAAAGCACCTTTTTCAAAGTTAAGTTTGGTTTAATTGCTTGCTTTTTAATATTCAGAAGTGCCCAAAGATCATCCATATTGTCCCCTTCCTAAATAAATAATGAAAATTCAAATAAATATCTGCAACTTTCAGTCATTACTTTCTTCTCAGTGATGAATGATGATCACTGTGTGTGCACAAAGGCTTTATTCATTGATATGAATTAGTTTGGATAATTTGGTCCAAAAATTTCATCTCATATAAAGCTGGATGTTTCTCTTAATTCAACTTTCATTTTTATTTTGCGATAATTGTGATTTACATAAAATTGCAAGAAATAATACAGAGCAATTCCGTCATACTCTTAACACGATTTTCTCTAATAGTAACATCTTGTAAAACTAGTACAATATCAAAATCAAGACATCAACACAAAAAAGTCATGGTACAGGGTATTTCCACCATCACTAGGATCTCTCAAATTGCTCTTTTATAGCCACACTCAATACCCTCTGTCCCCATCCCTCCTTTACACAATCATCATTAATCTGCTCTTCATTTCTATAATCCTGTCATTTCAAAACATTTATAAATGCAATCATATAGTACATAATCTTATAGGATTGACTTTTCACTCAGCATAACTCTCTGGAATTCAAATTGTTGCATGTATACATAGTTTGTTCTTTTAAAATTGTGGAATAGTTTTTCATGGTCTAGATGTACCACTACTTGTTTCACTATTCACCCGCTGAAGAAAATTTGGCTTGGCTTTTGGCTATTGCTCATAAAACTGTTGCAAATACCCATGAAAACATATTTGCAAGTTAGGCAACTCTTTGCCTAACATTCTGGCTGATAACTACAGAGCAAAGGAGTTGCCAAAGGTCACAAACCACTTCCTTGATGAATAACTAATGACTCAAGAACTCTTATCAGTACTTGCGGCTTTATATCTGCTACCTGACCTTACAGAGCCCTTCTCTCTCTCTCTCACTCAGCTTCAATTGGACAAGAAACATGTTTTTCAGTGTGTATTCTTCAGAACATGAACTCTATGAAATGCTCCTAAAAGGGCAAGTGGGGGATATTTCATGACCATATTGAATATTATATCCCTCTTTGGAAATTAACAAATGCTCACTGGTGTACAAAAGGAGAAATCCAGTATCCAACCAACTTCATCACTTGCTAGAGACAGTAACCCTTGGCAAGATAGTTGACTTTTCTATACCTCCATTTTCACCTGTAAAACAAATAAATGAATGGAACAAAGACACAGAAGGACTTGATCAATGTTATTTATTATTGCTATTATCATAAAATCATCATGATCTTATTAAAAAATACATGACTGGACTCCATCCTTGGAGATTCAGATTCACTAAATCTGGGGTAGTGTTTGGTCTAGATGAAGAAGCAGAGGTTCATCTTTATTAAGATTATGCCCAAGATTGTGCTTGAGACAAGATTCAAACACAGCCCAACATGCCTGGTCTGTGTCCATACACAGTTTGACTTAATTCTGTGATCAAGCAAAAGAGTGCAATACTCTACCAAAGTGATACCGTAACATCATAAAATCATGATTCCTCAAGAGGTAATTCAATAAAATAAAATGCAGTTCAGTGCAGTTGATACACATTAGCTTTCAAAAAACACCTAAATATACCAGTGAGGGTATGACTCAAGTGGTAGAGCACTTGTCTCCAATCCCATTACCAGAGAGAGATGGAGATGGAGAAGGAAAGAGGGAGGCAAGAGGAGAGGGAGAGAGGAAGAGAGGGAAAGAAGAAAAGGAATGAAAGAAAGAGAAAGAGAGAGAGAGAGAGAGAGAGAGAGAGAGAAACAGAGAGAGAGATGTATTTGAGTCATAGTTAGCAAATGAAATCTGAAAATAAGACACTATTTCCTTCAAAAGAAAAGAACCAATTTTGATGGCTAGTATTTCTATAGGTTCCACCACCACACTGATCATTTCCAAAGATCCTCTTGTTATCAAGTAACAGGACACTTTCCAGCACTCAGGGAATCATTCTGGAGGCAGTGGCAATCTTCTTACCACTTCCGCAGCAACTCTTAGGTAAGCTTTGGTCTGGAAAAGAAGAAACTGGGTGAGGTGAGGACGTTTAGTAGTGAGGAGACAATGCAGGTAGGCTGGCCTTGGAGTTATGATCCTCCTCTCTCTACCTCCAAAGCACTGGGATTAAGATGTGTACGACCATGCCTGGCTAAGACTTTCTAAAACCATTAATTTCTACACTGATATAATTGTGTGTGTCTATCTATTAATCTATCTATATACTATTAATATTAATGGCAATAAATAAAATTTACTGAGCACTCAATATTTGCCAAGTATTTCAGTTACTCTCACAGTTACCCTAGGAGGTAAGTTCTGCCATCATGCTAACTTTTAGACAGGAAAGGTAAAAAGTCTTAGTCCAAAGCATTACTGCTAGCAGGTAACAAGCTGGGTTTTGACCCAAGGCTGACCAACTCCCAGACTCTTCACAGTTAAAAGAGATATTTAAGGTTTGTTTGCTGAAACACTTGATGAAGTTATTCAAGTGTGTTTTACACATTTTCATTTTTAAAGACCATGACTGAGCCCTAACAGATGAATCATGTTTTATTTTTACCAGAAAAGTGTTAAAAATCTCATGTTAAAACATCCTTTTAAAAAACTCTCAAAACATGAATAAGGTTTTAAATTTTCTTTATTGAGTACTTATTATAGAAAGTACTTCACAAGTAAGTACTTTATCATGTAAAATAAGCATCATTGGCTCAACTTAGATGGGAAATCGGAAGTTGTTTGCTCAAGGTCATTTTTGAAGTCAGCAGGCTGGAAAACATTTACACCTGGGTCCAAGTGACTCTAAAGCCCAACTCTTTCTACTACATCACTTATTAAACAATAAACTCATAATAGAAGTGATTTTAATCCTAATGCAAGTCTAAAAATGATTTCATTCTCTGCTATAGTTAATAGAAACAGTTTGTTTTAAAATGGAAATAACTTGTACTTGTAAATAAATGTTTCTCTCACTGTGTTAATTTTTACTTATGTATCTTTATAAATACCTTTTATCTCCTAGTAGCTTTTCTAGGAATTTATGCCTAACATTTTGTGATGAAAACTGAAAAGCAAGCTGAGTCACGGACATCATTCAATAATCAGTTAGTACTTACCTACATAAACTCAGAATACAAAAAATTCTGAATGGTTCCAGAATAATCAAATTTGCTACATTTAATCTTTGTTTTTTAATGGACTAATCGACAAGCTTAGACTTCCAGTATATCCCACTCAAGATAACAACTTTAATTATCATTTGCTAAGAAACGACTGGAAGTGCTTAGTTTAACAGTTTTGATTTCTACAAAATTGCTGAGACTGAATTTTTTTCAGTCAACATTGTATCATTTGAACAAACACATTTTGGTTCTTCTTGCATACAAAGTATTTGTTGGAAAACCTGTGGGATGTAATGATGTAGAAGACAGGCAGAAGGTGAAAGGTGAAGGCATTCTAGGCAGTTTCTATATCCTCAAAGGATTTTTGAGGAGTATTGAGAGAAAGGCCTGTGAAGTGCTGGTGCAAAGGAAACAAACAGTATTAGTAGTTGTTGCTATTATTACTATGCCCCCAAGAAATTTTACAGTCTCACTGATGAGCTCAAATGAGCACTTTTCCTGCCTGAGGAATAATTAAATCCCTCTTTTTTGTTTCATTCATATCTAGAATAAAGGTCACAAATACATCATATGTACAAGCTATGACTGAGATTTCTCAAAATATTCTCTGTTCTTTCATCACCTCAACTCTACATAGACTTACCCTCCCCTCCTACTCTAGATCTTTATATTGGGCCATTTAAGAGCCACAGATAATAGAGCTGGACTCTATTTGTCTACTCTGCCATTATCAAGCAATAAAGGATAAAGAATAACCAAAATGAAAGCTTTGCGGAACTCTTCTTTTCCTTTGCTTTTAAATATTTGCAGATCTAATTTATCATAAATAATCATTTCACAGTAAGAATGTGAAGTGATACTTTAGAAATTATAAGATAATTTGAGACTTTACCAAAAGTAATCATAGCACATTCTTCTGATGCTAACATTTTTACTTGGTAAAAGGGTAAAGGCACAAGGTCATCAGTCACTCACAGTCCTCACGTCTTGGTCTCTGTGGTAAAGCCCAATCAACAAGTACAGACCCACAGCATGAGGCAATGCTATTAAGACTTCTGAATTCTAAGTACCCACTTTCTCTCCCTTCTCTGTTGCTTTCTTGTCTGTTACCCCATTCACATTTGGTGTTTCATTTATTCTTCTTCCTAAGTGGTGCACGTGTGCTAAGGTTTTGCCCATTCACTGGAAAGGCAGCAGCCTGTTAGTGCTTTTTAATTGTTACTGCAAGACCTTCTAACTTACCCAATGATGTCTTAAACTCACCACAATTCATACCTTTAAATTAATCACCACCTCTTTAGTGTTTGCCTCTTCGGAAAGTTAAATGTTTGTTACTTGGAAATTTAAATTCCCAAGTACATTTTAAAGGATTTTATGGGCTAAGAACGAGAGTCCTGACACTTGGTATAGGAGTGATGGAATATGAAAGTGGAGGGAAAAAGGAAGTCAAAAAACAAAAGATAAAACTTTTACCAATTAGTATTTTTCCTATGGATCATCCTTAAAAGCAAACAACATTGATCTACCATATGATCCAGCAATACCACTCTTGGGGATATACCCAAAAGAATGTGACACAGGTTACTCCAGAGGCACCTGTACACCCATGTTTATTGCAGCACTATTCATAATAGCCAAGTTATGGAAAGAGCCAAGATGCTCCACCACTGACAAATGGATTAAGAACATGTGGTATTTATACACAATGGAATTTTATGCAGCCATGAGGAAGAACGAAATGTTATCATTCGCTGGTAAATGGATAGAATTGGAGAACATCATTCTGAGTGAGGTTAGCCTGGCCCAAAAGACCAAAAATCGTATGTTCTCCCTCATATGTGGACATTAAATCAAGGGCAAACACAACAGGGGACTGGACTTTGGTCACATGATAAAGCGAGAGCACACAAGGGAGGGGTGAGGATAGGTAAGACACCTAAAAAACTAGGTAGCATTTGTTGCCCTCAATGCAGAGAAACTAAAGCAGATACTTTAAAGCAACTGAGGCCAATAGGAGAAGGGGACCAGGAACTAGAGAAAAGGTTAGTTCAAGAAGAACTAACTTAGAAGGTAACACACATGTACAGGAAATCAATGCAAGTCAGCTCCCTGTATAGCTATCCTTATCTCAACTAGCAAAAACCCTTGTTCCTTCCTATTATTGCTTATACTCTCTCTTCAACAAAATTAGAGATAAGGGCCAAATAGTTTCTGACAGGTAGTGAGGGGTAAGGGGGGGTAAGGGGAGAGGTAAGGGAGGAGGGCAGGGAGAAGTGGGGAGAAATGATCCAAACATTGTATGCACATACAAATAAAATAAAAATTTTAAAAAATAAAATGAAATGAATAAAAAAAATAAAAAACAAAACTGTCAGGAAAAGGGACTAATGATTAACAACTAATTTTATTAGCTTTTGCAGAAATTTATATTGGAAAGTAAATGTTCCCTTCATTTTTTAAATGAAGATGTTCAGGTAGAACAGGCATTGAGCTTCCACAAATACCACAGGATCTACTGGAAGAGATGTGGCTAGTTTCTGAAAGAAAATTTAAATTTGGTTTTATAGGGAGAAAGGAAACAGAACTATAGGAACAGGATTAATTGCAAGTCAACTAGGAAGGATTCAATTCCAGGACTCAATTCCAGCTTTCTAATGTTCAGGAGTTAACATCTTTAAAGTTGAAGCTGGGTGCTCTACTCACAAGATTCAAATTCTGCTACTCTGAATTTTAAATGCCACCAAAGAATGACATTTACTTGATGCTTTGGAATAAGTGGATTTGGCCCATTAATAAAGGAAAGAGGAAAGACATTTAGTGTCATGATATCTTAGATAGGAAGTTTCAGAAAGTAATAAGTACAGCTGGTATTTTGTTTGGCATTTTTCAATGCAGTTTTACATTGAAATCCTCTTCATTATGACATCAATTTATAGATGGAGAGAAAAGTTCAAGAGGTTAGGAAAATTGTTTCAGGTCATACTTAAAAGCAATACTTGGCAACCTTGGTAATGAAACTCCATGCTGATTCAGAGTCAGTACTTTTCCTTCCATGCAGAGATCCCCTTTGAGAATCTAAAAAAGCTCTTGTCCAATTTCCCAGAAAAATGCACCTTCACATACTCTAGATATAATTTCAGGGGATTCTGAGACCTAGATTAAGATTCTCTGCCTTATGCTCTGTGGCTAGACATGCCAATAGGGCCTGAGGGGCAGAGTTGGCTCATTCTCTAGAACTGAGATGTTATAAAAAGGGGTTGAACTGAAAGCCACCTTATACATATACTAGGCAGACACTGAACTAACCTCACAATTGTTAGGAAGTGAAGCAAGTACTGCATGGAGATAAGAACGCACAGGCTGTGTGTCAGAGCTGAGTGTGGAATGGCTTTTAGTATTCTGTAAGCTTCCTTAGCATATTCATGTGAAATAATGGAGAAAATTATGCCTGCCTTCACAAAGATGCTATGGGAATCAAGTAAGATAATGGGTTCAATGCATCTAAGCATTGTACCAGTCTCTTAGAGGAAACTGAAGATGTAGCTATCAGTATAGGACCCAGAAGATGATATAATGGAAAGAGGCCAACATTTCAAAGAAACAGACTTGTCTCGCAATTTTGGGAAAATTGTTTAACTTCCTTGAGTCTTAGTTCCCTAATCTGTAATATGGGGACTATCTACATATGGCATTAAATTGCTGTGAGGATAGAAAATAATGTAAATAAAATGTCTGATAGTGTCTGATACACAGTAATTGCTATTATTATTATTACGAACTGATTAATAATTATGAATGACTACAATCTATGCGTAGGAAATACTATCCTCCAGGGAAAGAAAACAAAGTACAAGACACTGTATTTTTTTCCTTTTCATGACCATGTCTAAATCTTAAAATTAATCAGAAGTCTTTATATTTAAAGCTGATTAGCAGTACATGAAATTCTCACCATTTTTAAAGAAATTTCATCAAATTACAACTAGCTTATACCAGAAAGGTTTAAGTTGTCATTAAACTCTCAGAAATGCCACCCAGCCACAGAAAAACAAGTCTAATATTTACACAAATGTAGATCAGAGTATAAAAACATGTAACTCCAAAAAACTTCATAAACACTGCTTGGAATTTAAAACCCTTTAAATTGATTGTTATATGTTCTCTGCTATATGACATTCCTCTAGCTTCAATGAGATATTTCTTACTTTTATAGAATTTCAAAGAAAAAAGCAATAATGAGCAGGTAGAAAAATATTTAAAAAGATAAGCTCACAATTAAACTATTATTATTTATAAGGAATAACCATGCGATGTCTTTAAATAGCCTTTTCTTGGGAGGCATTTAAATGTGTATAATTTTAAAAAGCCTCAATTTTAAACTTTTCAGATACTAAATATATAAAGTATACCTATGGTAGTTGGGACTGCCAGATTTAATTATGAAAGCAATAAAGAGTTGTCATTTCTGCATTTCTGAAAGTGTCTTAAGAAAGACTGAAAAGGAAATTTAACTTTTAATACTTAAAAGCCGAGAAAAAAATGGAAACTTCTATACTGTATTTACTTAAAGATCATACTGCCGGCAAGTCAATAACCTGTACCATAAGAAAGGATCTCTGGGTCCCTGAAAAAGGTAACTAAAAAAATGAATCAACTTTACTTATGTAAAATTCTTGACTTAATTTACTCTTACTTTATTTATAGCTCTAACCAAGTCTGGCTCTTTTATTTTTCAGCCAACAAAATATTAGAGAAAACAAACTAGAATGAAGGGGTAATAGCTATGGATGGATAAAATAACAACACTATAAAAATATACGTTAGCTAAGGGGAAAACGCAAAAAAGAAAAACTATTAGAAGATTGATATGGGCTGCTCAGGAAAGGGGAGCAAAACTACATCAAAACTGATGTACCACATGACTACTCAGTTTCTGGATTAAATAACAAGTACTAGTTAGGAAAAGATTTCTATTTTTTAAAAAGGATTACAATACAATACTTTACGCTTGAAGATTTTGATTTGGCAACTTTGAAAATCTACCAACTGTATTCCCAATAATCCTAGCTAATGAAACGGTACTAGGCTTTACCACTTCACCTCCCCAATCATACTTGGTAAAATAAATAAAAGGAAAAGCTCATCTCTAATGGCTGGATACCCTCCCTCTATTCATCCAACTTAACATTTTCTTACATTAGGTTTGTTTCTCCTAACAATTAACTGAACTTGTAATACTGAAATGTAATAACCCTGAGCAGTTAAATAATGCTAGTCACCAATATAGGAATTTTACAAACTCTTTATTTGGGTTCTTCCTGAGAAAGTTGGTTGGGTGATGATTCCCTCTATAGGTAAGTTTGTCAAGCTAATAGTTTAAAGCCAACACTGATAGCCTACCATGCAAACAGTGTATAACTTTTTTTTTTAACAGTAAAATATTTTAATAAAATCATCCCAGCAACCAAAATAAACACAAAAAACCCAAAACAAACATATCATTGTGAGTGGACTGAAGTCAAAGAGCTTCCTGGTTACAGCTAGATAGACTAACTAGGCTGGGGATGCAGCTCAGTAGGGCAGCAATTGCCAAGCATGCATGAGGCCCTAGGTTCAATCCCCAATAGTGCTAAACAGGGGACTAAATGTGCTATGAGGAGATTAATTGCCAAACACCGGAATAGAAGTTCTTTATTCAGTAACTCAGGCATTTATTTATATTTTATTGACTTATAGTAATTTTATATGTTCCTAAATTACACTGTGAAGTTTAGGTTCTTGTGCCCATTAGATAATGATTAACTTAGGGTAATTAACATATCTGTGCCCTTAAACTTTTATCATTTGTGATAAGTATATTCACATTTTTCTCTTCTATTTTGAAATATATGTTAAACAGTGTATAACTTAAAGATGCTTTGGACAAGTTAGCTAATCCTTGTTTGTATGTATGCCCTGTACACAGATAAGGTTACTCTTCTGAACTTTCTGTATATCAAAAGTACTTAGCTCACAAAAAGAAATAAAAATACACATTTAAAAATGTAACTTACCTCATCACTTTCAGGCTTTGAAAACACAACTGGCAGGCCTGTATCTGAAGCTTCCCTTATACTGAGGTGTAAGGGAATGTCTCCTACAAGAGCCCATGAAATACACATTAGAATCACAGAAGCTCACTATTTGAACTTAATAAAGAAACAAAATCTGAACTAAACTCATTTGAATTTAGTTGAGTTATGACTGTCCTCAATTTGCAAAATGTCTGAAAAAGAAATTAGAAATAAAAACTAGGGGCAAAATTCCATCTGAAGGAAGGTAGTACAGTGACTGAGTATTTATACATGAAAGCTATGTGGCAGCCAATCAAGGGACAAAGCATCTGATTTATTCTTTGCTGGAGGTGTTCTGGCAAGGAATGGCTTAGGAGACATTTGTAAATGATTTTCTCCTATAATATCCGATATAGATATATTATGCCACACAGTAAAGAGAAAATTGAAGAGGAAGATATGAGAAGGCAAAGTAGTCTAAAAAAAGGTACAACAAAATGATCTTCCTAATGTAGGCAGACAAGTGAGCTAAGAGAACTGCCAAAAAGTAGTTATCCCAATGTCTGCCTTTTAATCAGACAGAATTATTTTTCTCTTATCATTTATTAATCTATGGAGCATTTAATGTAACTTGTGAGCTTGATGAGTACACAAGAACCACCAAGGCATAGACTGCAGTTGGAAAGATTGTGTGTTATTCCTAAGAATGTATTACTGTTAGGTGGTAGAACTTGAGAGCAAAATGCTTTGACCTACCATGTAATATGCTTTTTCTTTTATTAGTGCCAACATGCTCTTTCCATCACACTATCACAAATGAAGTCTCAAATGCTAAGATTTAAAATGCAACCAATGGAGTCTTAGATAGAATTGACTCATCATGGCTCTTAGCATCCTCAGAATCACTCTAAATCCATGCAAAGGTCATTGAAATGTGTGTGTGTGTGTGTGTGTGTGTGTAAATGTGTGTTTTATATAAATAACTCATCCTATACACTGCTAGGCAATATAAATAATGCAGAAGTGTATGTACAAAAATATTACAATTTATTATGAAGTACATAGCAGAACAGATACTCCATGCTCCAATTGTCAGCTTATTTTACAATCTTAACTCTTTAAGTCTTTCCTTAATATCCAATATCCAATGATAAAATACAAGAATATTCTCGTAGCATTATGGATTAGATTTTCAGTAAATTTCATGTCTATCCTATAGATCAAATTCAGACTGCAGGAAATTAACACAGGGACAGACAGGGTAAAATAAGTTATATAAAATGCTTAGAAACCCATAAAGATTTTTCTCTTGATTTATGAGCTATCATTAATAGTAAGAAATCCTGAATGATTTCTTTTCTACTACAGAAATGGAAGTATGCCATCACAGTTTGGGTGTGAGAACTATCTTTGAGGAGCTAGCTCTGAAATAAATGGGGTTATGTTTCAGACAAAGAATTGGTTAAAAGGTTTTCTTTGAGATGGCCTGAGACTTTAACAACTATGCATATAACTGTCCCAGGAGGAAAAATGTAGAAGGTTCTGAAGAGCTGTTTATCCAAATAATCACTTAAAACACAACCCAAATGATAATTTGAGCGGCAGCTAAGTGGTCAGTATAGGACAAATGAGGGTTCTTGTGGATGGGGGAGTAAGGTAGCCAGTAGGCCTTAGTTGACAGAGCTCTTGTTCTGATTCCAGTTCCTCATTCCCAATCCATGCTCTTCATAATTGCACCCCCTGCTCCAGTTCATGGGAGACCATGACTGCATTAAAACAGGGAGTGGGTTCTGAGTTGGAACTGAGAATGATGAGTTATTTTTTTCCCCACAACACTGTTAAACACTATGTAGTTTGTGACCAGTGATCAGTGTTTCTACAGTTTTGAGTAATTATGTTTGTGTGTTGTTAGTTAAAATGTAACTTCCAAATATGAGACTGTTTCTCCATGAGTTATTTAAAATTCTAAACAAAAACATATTGCTTACAAAACTGTACCACTCATTTGTAAGTCAGAGAATTACAATATTGTCAGCATAATTCAATAATGCCATTATAATTATACATTTACTTTAATATGTAAGTGAATGTCATTCTGTTATGTTATTAGGCAGATTTTGGAAAATTGAGCTTTCCAGGTTAGTTAAATTAAAAACAGTTGCAGAATATAATTAGTGGGTATAATTAAAGCAATGTATCAAACTATATCATTAGTATTCACCTGGTATTGTGGTTGCTCCTATAGTACAAATGTGTAATGACAATAATGAACTTAACATTAACTTTAAGAAACTTAATTATAATAGAGAGTATTCTGAAATTCTTTGATCTCTAAAGGATCTTAATTTTTAACTACCTAAAACTAATAACTCACTCTATGTCTCATTCAGCATGTAACATCTGCCTTTGCCCAAAAATAGAAACCTGCTCACAATTACATATCAAAACATGTTTTCTAAAAAGTCCACTAACTTGCTTGTGAATTTTTGAAAAATCATGTTTTCTCCAAAATCTGTGCTTTGCTCACTTGACACAGAATTTTAGTTCCCCTAATATACTAATTAATTCTTTAATTCAGTGCTGTGTGATGTACATTTAATGTAAATTTCAGGTCCCATGGCAAACACATAAAAAGGTTACAGAAAACAGAAATTCTGTCATTCTAAAACTGAAAGACAACACAGAACTGACCCAGGTATCTTTTTTATACATGCTCCAAGAACTGATACTTACATTTTGTTTATGCTGAAATATTAATGAATAACTTAGCAACCAAAGTGATGACTGACATTTAAGTATGGCTTTAAATCACAGTACTAAAACCATAAAACTCCCATCTTAAGTTGAAATTATAGGCAGGTTTGTTTATAGTAGAAATTACTGTCATAGTTGGTAGACCAAACCTACTCAAAAAGCCAAAGCGAGGTTAACACATAGAATAGCACTATACTAACATAATTATTTTCTGTGACACTCTTCATAACCAAGCCTCATCCCATTTTCCTTTCTGTAACATCCCAAAGTCTCAGACTGTAAAATAGGTACAATGTTTACAGAGGGGGGTAGAGACTAGCGGGAGAGAGAGGGTGAAGGAAGGAGATTAAGGTGAGGGTATATGGTTGATGGACTTCATATACTTTTATGAAATAGAACAAAGAAATTTCTTGCAATTGCTTTAAGTGGAGTGTGGAGGGAGTTGAGGTGGGGGAGACAATGGGGTGGATCTAACCAATGTATATAAGTCTAATTGGAATTGTCACTATAAATCCCCTGTATAAAGAATATATCCTAATAAAAAAATATATATAAAATCCCAAGGTCTCACCTAGAACATCAAGATCAAGGGTCTGTGCTAGTCTCCTTGCACCATCAGCACCAAAAATGTGAGTTTTGTGTTTACATTTTGGACACTGGAAAACGCTCATGTTTTGGACAAGACCAAGAACCTAGAATAATAAAAGACAAGTGAAATTAAAGTAAAATTACACCAGATCTTAATACATCATTTCAACAAGTTTTTACTACGTACCTACTAGGTATCACTACTACAAACATGAGTAAGGTAGGTTTCTGTTCTCAAGCAACTCACAAGTTAGTGAGAGATCAAGACATAGATAGTTAACTTTAATATGCTGATAACTGCTACAAAGACATGAATAAACAGGAACCAAAAAACTTTGCATTGGAAGAATGAAGCTGCCCATAGACAATTGTGAACCCTCTGAAACTGTGAGACAAAATAAATCTTTTCTCCTTTAAATTGTTTAAATTGTCTTAGGTATTTTGGTCACAGCAATGGAGAAAAGTAACTAATATGAATGATAAGAAATGCCATTATGAATCTAAGACTTTCTTGTTCAGACACAGAACACCTCAGAGATTTTTAAAGTTGAAAGGATGGTGCTGAAGAGGTAATACTAGACAATCAGAAGTGTGTTATAGAAATTTAGTTCTGATGATAATGTGAAGAAGAACAAGAGGGGAGAGAAATAGGAAAATAAATTCTTAAGAGGTTTACTGTGAAGAAAATCTCATGATTGAAAGTAGATGACATATACTGAGTACTTATTGCATGTCATGTACTGAAATGAGTACTTTCAAAGTACAGTCTTATTTACTCCTCATAAGAACATTAAGAAACGGCTATGTGAGAAACTGACAGTGCCAGCAAGGCTGATGTTTACTCTTATTCGAATGTTATTGTTCAAAACAAAATTTTAAAGTTTCATAGAAAATTATCATCTCTTTCTGATATTCCCTAGCTTCAAGCACAAAATACATCATTAATAAACATTATTATTCAATAGTGCTATGGAATAAATACCCAGGCTCTGCAAATTTAATCCCTATTTATGCTCCTTTTAATCTCACTTTTTTATTGATGGGAAACAGTGGTTCTCTTCTAGAATAAAAATGTAGAGCACCCCATCAGAGGCTTAGAGATAACAATGTCTGTATCATCCTATCAATTTTGCCATAAGGTCATCATTGCAGGAGATTATTAGAACATTTGCATTTTAAATAAATAATAGCACTGATAGTCCATAATGAAACACATAGACAAAAAAGGTGACAAAATTTGTTTTCCTTTCTGAAAGTAGCAACAGAAAAGACTAAAGCTGTCCACACACACATGTAAATGAAGGCAAACAGTAAAGGGCATGGGTTTGCAGCAAAGCATTTTCCAAGCATCTAGTATTTACCCACTTTTTGCTGATACAAAGTATCACAAAAAATAAATTACACTGTTTTGGTAATTCAGTACCATCTCCAGAAAGCTAGAAGAAAACACAGCTTAATATCACAGTTTATTTATTTATTTGCTTTGACTACATAACACATTCATTGCTTTGAGTATATAACATTTATGATAAATGTTATTTATACCCTGACTGTAGGGCTTTCAACTTAAACATGAAAATTATTGTTCAACAAATAAAAACAGGAAAAAAAACCTTAAAGAAAAATGAAAATCTACATGAGGGTGTATTTCATGTCAGAGAGAACACAGAAAGCATTTTTACCTTGGAATCTCTTAGACTCCCCAAGACATATAGAGTCATGGAGCAAAAGTGTATTTGCAGTTTGTATGGTTTATTTCTCATCATCAAATTGTCCTCAATGGAGTACATAAACATCTCAATCACATTCTCAACAGATGTCACAGACATAAAATATAAAACTATAACCAAATAATATTAATGTGCTCTTATTATATGTCAGTAACTGTGCCAAACAGCAGGGAGAGCATAGAGTGGTGAGTGGAGGAGACTTGGTGTTTGCCCTCTTGGAGCTTGTGCTCTAATTGGAGAAGTGGACTGAATAAAACCATATTTATCTGGAAGTAAAGTACAGGGTACTATGCCAGAATAGAACATAGAGGATTTACTATACTGTAGGAGTTATAGAGGGTTTGGAAACATTTGACCTGAAAGTTACAGGAAAAATAAGGAAAGGGAAAAAAAGCAGCAGTGTTCAAGATGGACACAGGGAGAACATATCCCATCAAGAAACTGAAGGGCTGGTCTGAGGCTATGAGGTGTGGTGTGAGTGGTGTGAGATGAGGCTGAAAAGGTATTCAGGTGTCTGGGTTTATAATGCGTGCAAAGAGAAGCCATTAAAGGGTTTTGAATAAAAGAGGCCATTGTGCCTGTAGTTCTAGTAGACTCATTTCTTAAAGTTCAATTCAGTAGTTTTAAAAACAACATAAAATAATGAAAAAAACTAAAAGAATTTGTCTTTGTGTGTTTATGTTCTTAGACAAAACATTCAGGGCTGTGTTCTTCAAAAATCAATCATGGCGGTCATTTTTGGTTGCTGTCTAAAATATGTCCAGTTCTCCTCCTGGGAACAAGGTTAGGATTTTTTCTCCTCTGCAATTAGGTGATGACACATAACTTGTTTTGGTCAGTGAAATGTGAGCACCATGTGTCACTTCTAGGCTGAAGCTGTAGGTGCTAATTCCTCATTATTTTTCCCTCTGTCCTGGTGGCTAGCAACCCTCCAGATGGTGGCTGCTCTGTCAGTCTGGTGCCAGTGTGAGAATAATACAGAGGAAATGCTGAAGCCAAATCACAATGGACATGTACCATGAGACAAACTGTTGTTTTAAACCACTGAAATTTGAAGGTTGTTTAATTGTATGTCACCTAGCTCATCTTGGTTGACACAGAAGTATAGGAAGAAAATAATATAATTTCTATTCTATGATTTCTTTTTAATTTCAATTTTGTGTGTTTATAATGAAAACAGCATACTAATGTAGTTATATATGTACACTACATACACATACAATATAAATAAATACACATACATTGGGATATATGCTTAAGCATCATTTACTGATAAGGATAATAAAAGAAATAAAAGGAAATTCTAGAGTTAAGTAGAATTACTTTATTCAAGATGACCTAAGAAGCAATTCTTTTATCCTTAGCTAAAAGAAGTTACATATTATCAGTAATGGAGCCAGGCTTTGTTGTTAAAACCTCTAACTTTCAAACATACAGAGGGTTCTTAATATCAACTATCTTTTGTTTTTTCACCATTTTACCCTCTATTCTGGGAATTCAGTTTTTTTTTAGATTTTACATTTAAATAAGGTTATTTGGATTATTTATTTTATGAAGTATTTCTCTTTCTGTGCCTGACTTAGTTCACTTAGCATAATATTCTCCAGGTTCAAAAATACACATTGTTGAAAATGACAAGATTTCCTTCTTTTTAAAGGCTGAATAGTATTCCACTGTGTTTATATACATGGGAGTACAGATATTTCTCTGACATACTGATTTCATTTCCTTTGGGTGAACACCTAGTAATGGGATTTCTGCATCATATGATACTTCTATGTTTAATTTGTTGAGGAAGCGCCATACTGTTTTCCATAATGCTGAAATATTGTATATTTCCATCAACAGTATGCACGAGTTCCCTTTTCTCTATATCTTAACACTTATGTCTTTTTGATAACATATTTTCTAATAGGTGTACGCTAGTATCTCATTTTGATTTAATTTTGCATTTTCTAATGAATAATGATGTTGAGCATTTTTTCATATATCTTTTGGCAATTTGTAAGTCTTCTTTTGAAAAATGTCTATTCAGATCCTCAGTTCATTTTTCAACTGGGTTATTGTTTTCTTGCTATTGAGTTGTTTTGAGTTCCTTATATATTTGGGATGCAAACACTTTATCAAATGTATAGTTTGCAAATACTTTCACCAGTTCCAGAGGTTGTCTCTTCACTCAGCTAATTGTTTCTTTAGTTGTTCAGATGTAATGCTAGTTGTCTATTTTTGCATTTGTTGCATGTGTTTTGGGTTCATCTCCAAAAGATCACTGCCTATGTCAATGTCAGAGGTTTTCTCTCATGTTTCTTCTAATAGTTTTATAGTTTCAGGTCTTGCATTTAAGTCTTAAGGCATTTTGAGTTGATTTTTTATATGATATGAAGAAATTGTCTAATTTCATTCTTTTGCATGTGCATATTCACCTGTCCCAACACCATTTATTGAAGACACTGTACTTTCCCCACTGCATCTTCTTTTCACTTTTGTGGAAAAATTGACTATAAGCATGTAGATTTATTTCTGGGTTCTCTATTGTTTAATATATATATATATATACATTTTTCAATATATATATTTCTTCAATATAAACTATATTCACTTTGTAAAAAACTAATTAAGCTATAACACTTATAATTTGTGCTGTCTTATGTAGGTATACCATAGTTCAATAAAAAGTTTGCTTAAAAAGAGGTGATTGGAAAGGGGGAGGGTGAATGGAGAGGGTGAATATGGCTGGTATTCTTGGTATCCTTGTATGAAAATAGAACAATGAAGCTTGTTGAAATTGTTTTAAGAAGTGGAGAGGGAGAGGATGAGAGAAAATGATAGAGGGGATAAATCTAACCAAGGTATACTATAAGCATATATGGAAATGTCACAATGAAACCTTCCTGTACAGCTAATACATGAATGTCTTTAAAAAGAGGTGAACATGGGAAGAATGGTAATAAAGCAATAAGAACAAGTAACCAAACAGTGTACCTGGCATCTTGTGACCTGCGCATTAAGTGTAAAACACACACTGGCTATCAAGTGACTTAATATGAAGGAAAGCATGTAAAACATCTCAATAACTTTTTAAGTTCACAAGTTAGTTATTTTTGTATTTTTCATCAATGTATACCATGAACACACACACAAAAGTACACAAATCATAAGCATAGGCTGAATGGACTTATAAAGTACATATACCATATTACCAAGGCTGCTGATTGATTTTGTTTTGTCTTGAACTTGATGTGAATACAATCATACAGCATATTCTTTTGCATTCATGTCATTCATCCAGTTCAACTATCTGCAGTTCGTTTTAATTTGTAAAGTTGTTTGTGGCTCACATTATATTTCCACCGGACAGAGCTGATTGAGACACT